TAGATAAAGAAGCCTCTTCAGCTCAGCTACGGGTAGTCCAACGGAAATTCCCAAATTTTCTATATAATTAGCAATGAATTCAATGGTCTCTTGGAGTGGCACATTAGTAAATAATGAGGTAAGATCCAGCGAGAACATCTGTTTATTGGTTAAGTTGATTGGTGCAATGTGATTGACAAAATCAAAAGAGTCCCGTAGACTGAACTTGGCGATGTCTCTTCTGACTGGTTCGAGGAGATCGGCTAACCACTTTGCCATGGTACCATGGTACGACGAATTACTCATGTCCGAAATGGGACACAACGGTACCCCATCCTTGTGGATCTTAGGTAGTCCGTATAACCGAGGTATTGTGGTCCCGACCGGTCTAATTCTTTCATAGATGGACGAATTGATTACGCCATCTTGTTTGAATTGTCTGATCATCTTGGATATTCTCCTTTCTATCCCAGGTTTTTTATCTTTCTCTCCGGGGTTAGCTATGAACTTGGTACTGTCACCGAGTGGTTCGTTCATCTTGGTGATATAGTCTGCTCGGTTTAGGATAATGATTCCCTCACCTTTATCCGGTCTTGTGATCAAAATGTCCTTATTGTTTTTCAGGTGTTTAAGCTTTTCGAAATGCTCCGATTTTAGAATCCCTTTAGTCGTTTCTTTAGATGTTAGATATTAAAAGCATGTCTGAACCCAGTTGGATTTAAGCTTCTGAGCCCGGAGGTGAGATAATGGTTTTAACTTTGCCAGTTTTCCGTATAGGTTTTCAAACTGAGTTTCCAACTCTAGTTGGCGAATCATACGAGTTGGATAGCAAAATTTCGGTCCTAACGACAACAATTCTAGCGTTGTATTATCCAAATTCATAGACGAGAAATTATGAACATACCGTTCCGGATTGCTTGGAAATTCGTTGCACACCTCTGCGACCGATATTTGCCTGCGTAACTTTATATCATTCTTCGCCGATTGTTGAAACTGGATGGTTTTAACGTAAGTCAAACATTGCTCCGTCTCATCATCTGTCAGATGATGCATTGCTTCGGACACGATCAACAACTGCTTTTGCAGGGAATTGCAACGATCAATCCAAGAGTCACGTTCGTTAAGCGTTTGTCGCTTTGATGAGCATCTGGTGATTTTAATATTATTCCGACGAAGGATAGTCCAGTAGCGTTTCGGAACTACACAGCGGTTAGCACAGTCATTCAGAAATTGCACAGTAGTGTTTGCCACGGCCAACTTTATACGGAACTTCAGATATTTATACAGTTCCTTAAATAAACAGGGGTCTTCGGTCTGTTGTAGATGTGAAATTATTCCCGTTTGAGTATTCATGAGACAATTCAAACAAGATGGCGTAATCAATTCGTCCATCTATGAAAGAATTAGACCGGTCGGGACCACAATACCTCGGTTATACGGACTACCTAAGATCCACAAGGATGGGGTACCGTTGTGTCCCATTTCGGACATGAGTAATTCGTCGTACCATGGTACCATGGCAAAGTGGTTAGCCGATCTCCTCGAACCAGTCAGAAGAGACATCGCCAAGTTCAGTCTACGGGACTCTTTTGATTTTGTCAATCACATTGCACCAATCAACTTAACCAATAAACAGATGTTCTCGCTGGATCTTACCTCATTATTTACTAATGTGCCACTCCAAGAGACCATTGAATTCATTGCTAATTATATAGAAAATTTGGGAATTTCCGTTGGACTACCCGTAGCTGAGCTGAAGAGGCTTCTTTATCTATGCACATATAATATACAATTTCAGTTTGTATATTCAGTACATAAAAGAAAGACGATTTATCGTATTAATCCGTGCTATGAACCGGAATTTTAAATTTGATCATTATCAGTACGACAAGAGATATTTCGAATGATCTCCGACCAGATATTTCCTCATTCTAGACCATTACCAAAATGGATTGAGTATTTGCGACTCGACCGGTACGTGTCTTCCAAGGGCACACAGCTCAATCTCTCTAATCTCGTAAGCCTAATGGAAGATTCCGATCTCGGGTAAGTTCTACATTGTTTCGACTAAGGTCACTATTTTATTACCCTAATTTTTCTATTATTCCATTACTCCGTTCCACAAATGTTTATACAGTGAACTCTTTCTACATGTGAAACACTGATTGATGCAGGAGTAGGAGGATTGGAATGGGATTTTAATTGACGACCATTAGAAACCGCGTGATGCTGAGTGGCGTGAACTGTTCTCCCCTACCTAATCCGAGTGATAGTTTCAAAATCCTCGTTTAGAATGACGTATGTGGGAGGGTTTCATTCGCGGCTCATAACTTTTGAACAAATCCCAACCCATTTGGTGGTGCGCTAGTCTCAAGAGACAAAGTTGCATGCGTGTACTGGTAACCAAACCCATGCACATATCCTCATAACTAAGTCACTCCAGTGAACTGGTAATCTTTGGGTGTCGTGAGGTTTAGTAGGGAATTTGTCAACCGTCTACTTTGGTGACCTCTGCTGCGATATTTTTTTAAATTTCTCCTTATGGGTTTCTTGAGTTCGCCTTTGGTTAGTGATATCCTGTCTTGAACATACATTCTTTTGCTCACGGTTATCCTCCACTTCATTTGGTAATACCATCATTTTCATTTGGTTGTTTTCTTCCCTCCCTTTTTGAAGTTCTTATCTACGTCACCTGATTATTGATCGAACACCGCCCACATTCGCCAGCACACTTTCGAAACGTATTGTTCAAGATAGTAAGTTCACTTCCTATTTGATTCCAAACCCCAACGATTCTCAGTTCGTACTCTTCTCAAACCAATGAATGTGGATCAGCGTGCAGCTATTCTTCGCGTTCTCATGGCTGATGATTACGTTCTCATTCAAGGCTATCCGGGAACAGGTAAATATGCACTTTCCTTTTCAGCCTTGATGATCAACGGGATTTCTCTCTCTCTCTCTCTCTCTCTCTCTCTGCTACTACAAAGTCGTCCTCTCCGTTCCTCATTCTTCCTTTTTCGTTAGGCAAAACACAAACGTTGACTGCTTTGCTGCAGGTGCTCGTGTTGCTTGGTCGGAAAACACTGGTTGTGGCTCACACGCACTCAGCCGTTGACAATCTGTTGGGTCGATTGGTTCAGGTAGACCCATATATACTGTGTGTATACTACTTATTATGAAATATTCTATAAAGACGCTAAAGTCATGGTTGCTGTTTGCATCTAACCCGCCTACAAAACATAGAATCACAGTATTGATTCTTCAATGGACTGGCTTTGAAAGAGCTATCTCCAAAATTACTTGTTGCAAATGAGGTTGTTGTGACGAAAATACACTTTCTGGGTGCAAGTATATGAATGAACTTACAGAAAACTACCGGATATGCATGCCTGAAGAGCGGCAGGATCCGCGAAACCGGTCGTGTGCTTCCAGAGAGATATTGTCCCGTCATTCAGATGTTACTTATTATGAAATATGTATATACTTCATCTTCCAATAACTTTCGCGCTCCATTGTCCATTTTTAGTCTGGTGAGAAACGCGTACTACGTCTAAGCTCAGTAGACCGGGTGCGGCCAGACTTGTTGGACTGTTGTTTTGAACATATGCTGGCGACATCATTCTCGAGGTTACCTACCGAGGATCCAATCGACCATTGTCAACGTCTTGTTGACGAAGCGGTGAGCTACAAATCTTTCGTTATCATATGATATCAATCTGTTATTTTCTTTCTGTGCTCAGTTTCCATCCATGTGCTAGATACCACCCATCATTGAGCACAAACGTTTAGGTTTTACCACAAAACATCCAATGTTTTTCTGTCCCCTATCACCGGTGCTGATTCGTGTCCATAAATCAATTCTATTGAGAGGTAAAAATTGTTTGTTCGCAACAGTTTTTTTCGAATGCGGTTGATCTTGATCCCCAGTCGGGTCGATAGATCTGCGCAATGTTGATTAGACCCAACTAGGTCGAAACACATGTCCAGTGCTTCCTAGTTTTTCAGTTCATTCTTCATTTGCTCTCTGTACACGCAGAATTCCTTCCTGATCTTGATCTATCAATGTGGACGAAAGACTGTATTCACATGACCTTGGTTGTGTTTACACGTGATTCGATTATTGAATTTTTGCCGCCTTATAATTCGTTTCAAATGATATAGGGTTAACATTTGGTATTAGTAAGACTTGAAAGTACTATAATACTTTTCGAAACAAAGACTAACTCGTGTGAACAAGTCGTCTTCTTTGCTTCGAACTTCTTTCTTCGTTATTGTCTAATACTGATAGAGGTTAACCAAAAACTAGTTAAATTTCAACGTGCATCTATTTTTGGGCGTGCTTCATTGGAACTTATATTTTCACCATCCCTGAAGTATCTCCCTGTCATTTTTGATCGCCAAAAAGTGAGCATCTAGCGTTTTTCCTTTCTCCAAGAAAACAGTAACCTGACCCTCGGTGACACATACCGTTTCCTGGAAACGACCAAATTGAAACAAGAGTGAAGGTTAAACCACATTCTGAATAGTTTATTTGACAAATCATTCCGCTTAAAATTTTCGTTGTTGTATTTTCCACTACACACAATTGGCCAAGGTGGTTCGAATTATTGGTTTCAAAAAGCCAAAGTCGACTCTCCACCGAAGACTTTGAACTTAATATGATTCTGGCCCACTATCCCACTATTCGCTCGCACAGAAGTCATCAGACTGTACTGTCCCTAAAGTTTAATCAGGTCATTTCATAGGGAATTTGTTTCGACCGGAAGAGCATGGACGCTACTTATCCGTGCTATATCCTTTTTAGTTTTGGTGACTGAGAATGGTAAATTTGATAGTTTGATAAGTGGTGGTGGCCAAGTGGTTAGGTCACCAACTTGTGACCTGCCAGTCCCGGGTCGAACCGCTCCACCGCCGCCCGTCTTCTCAGGCAGCCTTTGTATGGCTGCGGTCCCCCTTCCTGAATGTTGACTGTACATTTGTATATTCAATAAATACAAGAGAAAGTAAAAGGACAAAGACAGACAAGTTTAGGTCATTGATGAGGCGAATCCTTTAGATCTCATCATTCTTTCATTTGGGTTTGTCCAAACCAAATCTGAAGTTTGCACTGGATGTTGGAGTGCTCACGGTTAGCCCCTGACAACCTCCATCCTCAAGCCAAGTCAAGAGTGCGCTTTGTTCATTCAATGTGAACAGAATTTTCGGTGAAAAGAACGTTATCGCTTTTGCTTTGGCATTGCACGCTATTAAAAATGAGCTTTAAGATATGATAAATAGTTACTGAGATGATAATGAATCGGACACCGAGAACACGTAAAATTAAGGAAAATGTCAACGTGAAAATTTACATTAGACTGTGTATAAGTTAGTTTGATATTCGCTCCCGAGAAGCCAACAAACATGAAAGGTAAGTTACAACGAATTTGTGAAAAGCAGTGGTACGAGTATATAAAGGTTTCAATTTATTGCTGGTTACAGAAGTTGAAACGGAGCTAGATAGAGCTGTGTGTAAGGGATTTGACTCATCGGACAAGATAGAGTCACACGCATTCAGGTATTGGTTGACAATGGAATCAACCAGCTCCTCATAAGACAGCTCCATATCTAGATATTCTTTTCAGAGAGAGTCTCATTATTGTAAAATCCTTAGACAGTAGACCGGGAAAGATTAAGGGAGAGCAGTAGATCCAATGGCATAAAACGCATGAGAAAATAGATTTGGAGATGATGTACAATGGCACCCTCAGATGCCGAAGGCGTGAAATATAAAAGGTCAACTTTCTGACTTCAAGAAATGTTTGTTCAACGCGATAGGGCCAGTTGAGGTCAGCAGACACGATACATCCAAGATTTGAAGTGTTTTGACCTTTCAAATTTTAAGTTAATAATCAAGATATTAGGAACAGATGATCCAGAAAGAGTTGATGGTCTACGGTCAATGGAAAACAAAACTTCAATGCACTTCTTGGGGTTTAAAGAAAGGTTAACACCATCGAACCATTCAGTAATGAAACTTATGGCTGATTGAAGGGTTGTTGTTGTGAGATGCACCACCAACTACTATGTCATTGGCATATTTAAAAGTGAAAACATTTTGGGGTGACTAGCAAATTTTGAATATAAAAGGAGAACAGAAAAGGGGATAAACTTACAGTAACAGTATAAGACCTAATACCAATGAGACAAGTGAATTGGCGTCGGTCGGCAAAATAGTCGTGAATCCAATTCATAAGGTGTATCGGGAGATTATGTCACCGTAACAGTGTCAATAGGATGTTTCTGTCAACAGAGTTAAACGCGTTTGTGTAGTCCAAGAAACAAACGTGAACGATTTTGTTTTTGGTCTACAGTGGATAAAACAGAATGTATAAGATGAACAACCGCATCTAAAGTAGAGCGGCGCTTACAATAAACAAACTGATTGGAATCACAAAAATCAAGATTAGAGGATAGGTGCCTAATAATAATACGCTCAAAAGTCTCAAGAAATACTGAAGATGAGGCAATAGACCAAAACTTACCCTTTTCTTTCTTAGGTACTGGAGTGATGCGCACATCACACCATGTGTTAACTAGTCTTCCTTCTGACAGACATGTATTAAAGAGAAATGAAACGGTTTATGCGAGGTGGTTTGCACATGTTTTAAGGACCACTGGGGATAACGCATCAGGACCAGCGGATTTAATTCCATTAACAGCATTTAACTCCTTTAAAACTTGCTCTATTGTGGCAGACACAGGAAGGTTGAAATCAAGTGGTGTTGTGTTGGGACTCGGTAAACCTTGCACAACGTTTTTCACTGAAGCAAATGATTTGTTGAGCTCATTGATATCGCATGCGACTGTAGTAGGTAAAGTTGAACGACCACAGAGTAACTTCAGTCCGTTCCAAAGCTGACGGCAGGATTTGTCTCCTACCACGTGTCCGCATTCAATTGATTGCGATGTACTATTTCGCTTCTAATGTGAAAGTTGACAGATTTGACCGTCAGTTTATCTCTCGAGCGATACGCCCTTTCTTTCAGCCTTCGTAATCATTTCAGTCTATTGGAGATGAATCAGTTGGGCTGTAGATGAATCCTTTCCTGAGGGAAGCACACATCATTACAATAGTTGAGGTAATTGATAATGTTCTCAAAGAAGACTGAAATATCAGGATCGAAGAGTTTTTGTAAGTCCGTACCGCCAACCATGGATTTTAACTCCATCAAATTGGTGAGATGATTTTGTCGTAAATGTATCTTACGTGCATCGTTCTTCATCAGGATTTGTTGCTTGCATTTACCAAAGGCCCCACCCAAAATCACTTATTGGTTGCTATTTTCCCTAACTGGTCCACTCCTGTCGGTTATATTCGTACACTGAAGCATCACATCTTTCAACAGCACCAGCTGAACCATAAATCTTCCCATAAAGGGCTATCCAAAATTCCGCTATCAATCTTTTTTCCGACCAGTACTGTCTCAACTCTTATCCCTGCCACCAAATGCTCAATGAAATATAGTTACAGAAAGAAGAAACCAACAACATCCAAACGGAGTGAATAATCCCCATGCAACATCAGCATGCAAGCCGTTGATGGCTCCGGTACGCTTTCCGTCGTTCCCAATCCCATTGAATCCCTTTTTCGTGGTTACTTCTCGATGCAACAAACCAGGTTAGCTAGTCGAGAGCATAACCAACGACTGCAAGCAGTTTAGCTTTTATCTCTACCTTCCAGTACACGAATCCCTCGCGCAATTTGTCGGTTACAAAGTGCGAAACGGCAAATAACCGCCAGCCGGGGTGTTATTATCAGATTTCACACACGTCTGAATCCAGACTGTATGCAACACAAATCATAGTACCATGGCCTTTATCAAAAGAGGGGTGGGGATTATCGTGTTATTGGATTTGTACAGACTTAACAGTTGTCGGTCTTTTCGGTCTCCACCTTACCTCGCTCTGTTCGTGAAGTTTTGTGGGACTTTGGTGCACTGGGTGCTTATATCGTCACTCGGCTTTTTCATTTTGACGACGCATCTGTAGCCTTTGCACAATCTAGTGCGGACTGTAAAGCATCAATGTCTTGGCGCAGGGTTCCCGTTGGCTCACTAAGCTCATTCGCTATTCGGCTGGTGTGGATTCAGCCCAGAGATCCCTGTATCTCTACTGGTTTTATAGACTTCCTTTATACCCGGTGAATTTGGTAGTAAATTTCGGCTGCCCATTCAAATACAGCTATCTTTGCATGCAGTACATCGTCTCACAAATGTTCTGCGCCTCCAATACCGTCAACTTATTCTGACCTGCCAGTCGAGCGGTTTACGAGGATATGGTCTCCGATGCATGCCTCAGCTTCTTGGAGCTACGGGTAACAGTTTTTTAAGTGATGAAATCCAAAGAGATGGAGGATGTTTCTCCAGGAACACAACAGTCTATCAACTCCTAGGTACTGCTTTCATGTGATACCCCTCAGATTCCGCTGTAAGTCTATGACATAAATAAGTTCTGACCAGGTCACACAAGACTAATGTTGCGTCATATCCATCCGCAATCTTTTCTTTTTCTTTTCATCATGTTTCTTGGTAAATCTCTATGTTCCTTCTCACATCAGGTTGTTGTTGGTTGTACCGCATTGGCTGCATCCGGTGGTCCTGATTCACGACACGCGGCCCTTAGTCGTGCTCTGTTCGATGTTGTTGTGATCGACGAGGCGACCCAACTGTTGCTTCCCACCGCACTAGGATCGCTGTTCTGTCTACGTCCGAAGCCGGTTGCTCGCGGTGCTCGTTTCGTTCTAGTCGGTGATCCTCATCAGCTTCCTCCGCTCGTGCAGAGTTCTCGTGCTCGGTACGTTTTGGATGGAGGTTGCTTCATGGCTTCATTTGTTACCTGTGATAAAACTAAGCTCCGTTTGGCGAGGAGCTTTTTGCTGTATCTTTGTGTATACTAGCGTGCAAGTCGGCAGCCTGGCATTAACTGGTTGGTTGCTTATCTAACTGTTGACCACGTTTTTTGGTGTTTCATACCTTACTCGCCTGTTAAGAAGCATTAATCAAAGCCGAGAACAAAGTTTTTTTTATTGCCAAGACGTATATATATATATATATATATATATATATATGAGAGTAATGGAAGATTTGATTGAATTTCAAAGAGGGAATTCGTCGTGTGTAGAAAAATTGAAGCGTGAGAACCCGGCTGGTGTTAGACCCGGTTGAGGTTGTATCAAATCCGTATTTTAACTCTTCGCCAAATACTGGAGCACCGACGTACTTTTCGTAGACTCGCCACCTCTGTCTTCCTCGATCTGAAAGCAGCCTTCGACTTTGTCGACCGCTTCAAACTCTGCTCCTGCTTTTCCCTGAATGATGTGCCCGAGAAATTGATTTCAATATTACGACCTCTTTATACTCATAGTCGAAACCGAGTCCAGGCTTACGGCTCTTTTCCGCCCTACTTCACCACGGAAAGTGTGTTCGTTAGGGTTGTCCTCTCTCCCTCCTTTCCTGTTTGACTTTGTTATAGATTAAATTATGGGAACAGTCCTATCCTCGTGCGAAGATAGCGGTATCAGTTTGCTCCCAGGACTATGGAGACAACATTGTCCTACCAAGTAAAGACCCAGTTAAGTTGCAAGCTTTTCTGGATAGTTTGATTGCTAGTGTAGCCATGTTCGATATGTTTCCCACTTTCAAACAGTAAAATGTTGCTACAAGATTGGGTTAATCCAGCCCCCAACTGCACTCTAACTTGGGATGTAATAGAGGAAGTAGACAAATTTTGCTACCCGGGCAGCTATATCTAAGGCGGACGCGTCACAGTTGAATCTCGATAGGCGTATAGAAGACTCGATTGTTATTTTCCAACTTGAGACACCTATGGCCCCTTCGCGACATCCGACTGTCTGTGAAGGGGCGGGTATATGCTGTAGCAGTTAGGTCAGTCCTGCTCTACGGTGCAGAGACTTTAACATTACTGGAACGGGATAAAAATAGATTGTCGGTGTTGGAACACAGCGGTCTACGTCGCATTGCATGACTCGGGTGGGGAAACCAGACGAGCAATGTTGAGGTTAGGCACAGTTTTAGGTAATCTCGGTCGTCCATTGGAGCAAGTGGTCGGCCTCGATAGATTACGTTGGTTGGGGCTTAGGTTACGCACACCACCAAATAGGTTGCCACGGCGCGCGATGTTTGATGTAGGTATTGGGTAAAAATAGCCAAGGGTGGTCAAAATAAGACCTGGCAGAAGAGTTTGAAGACCCTAACTAGGAGACTCAGTCATATTGGTCGCGTTAGACTCCCCGGACGGGGACCTCGGGATGATCGTAACCGATGGTTAGAGAAACTGAGTGATATGGCGCAGTGGCGTTCGTGCGTCTCGATTTCTTTGCAACCTTAGTCCATCGAAATTCTCCATCTTCTCTTCGACTACTTTCAACTCTCCTGTCCTTCTCCTACAGCTTCATCCCGATGTGCAGCCCGAAGACAACAGTAGAAACGAAAGTGTGTGCTTGATGGTTGAAAAACTGAAAACTGGAAGAAACACCAGTTCCATAATCCGTCGTCTAATAGATTACGACAAACGCGATTCTCAGAAATCCCTTCGTGTCATAATTTGCCGAGAGACTAACCCTGTTTTAATTTTCACCTTGACAAAAGTTATTCGACCTCACCTCTACAGCATGGGTGAGCAAATAGATTTCGTGGTTGGCTGCTGCCATGGTCAATCAGTGATTGCCCCACGGAAACGATTATGATCCCTGCTCTCATGCCCAGTCTGGTTCAATTTCTCCCAACATTTGGTCCTTTTGTTGATTGCTGTTGCCCGTGTTTGTTCACGTACCTGCCTGTCATTTTTCCAACCAAATGTGATCTGAATACATGCGCACAACCGATGAGTTTATCACACCGTAGTTGATTTGAGCACATCCTTTTGTCGGGAATGTTTTTCTAACTCTCTCGTGCATGTAAACCTATTGAGGGAATCTGGTTGCATGACACTTCGGTGTTCACACTACTCGTGCTTCACAATCTGATCCACAAATAAACTTTCCATGTACTCACTGAGCTCCGCCTTTCTGGTATTTTTTTGTTCACAGCCAGGCCGGTTTGGAATGTAGTCTGTTTTCGCATTTGCTCCACAATGCAGACAAATCTGCTCTGGGCAACGCGACGCTGGATTCAGTGTCAACCAAACATCCGGGACTGGTCACACTCACTTTGCAGTACAGAATGAATCGTGATATTCTGTTCCTGACCAATGAACTCACCTATGCACATGTTATTCGAGCTGCTGATGAACGGGTTTCCCAGTCCACACTGGCAGATGTGTTAAACCCCGACGAACTATTGACTGTGAGTGTGCCCTGACTGTATGTTGACCATTGTGTCACAATCTGGTGTATTTCAGATGACCTACTGAACTCTCCGTCACTTTCGATTGGCTAACATTGACGCACTTTTCGCAGACAGATTGAATTTTCTAACTGGGTTTTTACCCGGTTTACATGGAAGGCGAAATGGATCGTTTTGCGTTTTTAATTATACCGTTATTTGATGTGTGTGCACTGTCATGAGCCCATAGTGCCTACCGTTCAAACATGGCAACAAGCAGCATAACTCATTCGAACAGAACTGGTAAATCACATAAGAGCTCAGTAGGAGAGACGTAGTATTGAGGCGAATGACAGCTAGTCTGAGTACCACCAAGGTTCAGTGGTGGTCATATGGTTTGATTCCCGCACCTGAGGACTCAATTACTGCAGTGACAGCGCTTGGGCTTTTGAAATTTCTTTGACCGAATGCCTCAAGGATTATGCAACAAATATCTCATTCACTTGAACCCCAGTTTGTTTACTTTGATTTTGCTCAGCAGTATGAATCCTTTGTCCGGTGTTTCACGGAATTCTTTATTTATTCCAGTTAACTCGTCCCCCCACACACCACTCTCCTATAAAAAGTTGTCGGGTTTGGGCTAATTCTGTCCGAGTTATACGTAACCGTAAATGATTGTTGTGCCAGGATAAACACGTTCATATGTTCACAACAACCTTGCAGTGTTAGATTGTGCTATATCGTGTCTAAACAATGCGTAACGCTTGTGTTCTCTACCACACTGAGGTCCCCGGTGTGATTGATTCACACAGCTGATGAGATCCAGTGAGCTTGAAGCAATTGTACAGTCTTTCTTAGTTCTCCGACTGGCATTAATTTTGCTCCGTGTACGCTAGAAATTTCCCTTAGGGTCTGAAATTGGTTTAGTTCTTTTGCGGGCGACGCGAGGCTTCCTTCTCGGCCACACTCGTTTTTCAGTTCCTACCTCCAATGACGAGTTGGGATATTTCTCTTCCCACTTTTTCTCTATTTCACTGCCATTCTTTTTCATTTTGATTTGGGGTTTATTTCCTATTGTAATGACAGGTTCGGTCATCGCCCATAAAACGATGTGGCAAATTCCCAGATATGATTATGATTAAATATTCTTCCTCTTATTGTTATTTTGGTATAGAAATCTCCATGGGCAAAACGTGTTTTCAGTACAAGCGTTTCCGATGCTGTTGTATTCTTGGATACACATATGGTAAGTTGGTCGAGATCTCAGCAGTTTTACGGAACACTATATTTTTCATAATTTGTTGCACTTTTCAATACGGGGACAGAATAACTCTACTTATACGTGGTTGATAGTGGTTTTTTTACAATTTTCCCGTTATGAAGGCCGATAATTGCACAGCGGTAAGGAAATCAGTTTTTCTATTCAGTTCATACGTACATCCTATAATCATGCACTTCCGTGCCGCGATTTTGATTGGTCTTTTGGCTACCTATCTGGATGATGGATTCGACGTAGATTTATTTAAACGTTCGACGCAGCACCAATTGGACGCTAGAGATTCCAGGTAGATTAAGGGAAACTCGAACAAAGCTACGCTACTGCCCTCCACTCAAACCATCCAAACAAACCTTACAGCTTACCTGGATCTTCTATGCGATTTGTTATGCATCAATTCTGTTTGTCTCACCTTGTTGGTGAGCCAGGGATAGAAACAAGAAACATCTTTTATGATTTGTAAACGAGGGGAACAACCTGGGGTGCCTGCGGCATAAACGCAAGCAAAGTGGATTTCTGCATTGCTCAGTTGACAGGGGTGATAGGCAGGGGATCGTTGTATCCTCTGATGTGAGACACAATCGCCTTGATTGCGAGAGTACAAAATTCAGCTCTGTTTATTGTGAAACGTTGAATGACAACAGCTCCCCAACTTGACCTGTTCCCATCACCCATAGGCGTGTTAGGTAACTGACTCCTTCAAATCGTCGCATTCTATGAACCACTGAGAATCATGACCCATAAAGTACTGTTGTGGGTGTCACGCTTTTTCACCTACAAGCCTTCGCTATGCTTTTCCTTGTTAGACCCTAGTCCTTCTGCTAGTAATTAGTTCCTTGTGGTCAATATACTTGCGCATTTTTGCGAGGATTTGTTAGTATAACGCGCCTCACCTTTATTGTTGATCGTAATGTTACGTCGTTATGAACAGCAATTTTATCAGTTCTCTTGTGAGGACAAAAGTAACTTTTCTTGACATCTAAAAGCATAGTTATACATGCCACCGTACAACAATCCTTATAACAAAAAAATAGGTCAATTATTCGCTAGTAGACGGAATACTGTCAGGTTTCCCGAACCTAAGCCGGTGAATTTTATGAGGGGCTCACGACCGGAACTTTTGGTGATCACCACCAGAGCCAAAAGGATGTGGGTGTAGGTCTACACCTGGTTGGTTGGAATCGGGATTTATGGTCACCCCGCTTTCATGAATTGCCAAGTAGTTCACCGGTCGGGTTGTGATCTCTGATGTTGTCCTTCCGTGAAAAACCACCTCCGCTGCACAGAGCCTATTTAAGATGTTTGGTCGCGTAGGAGCATTTCACGAGGTGCAAGGTAACCGATCACCACCCAAGGTATCCACCCCGGACCAAACTGAGGCTGACTGGTCGGTTTACGTGCACTACCAGTGAGCTCTGAAAAATTGCACACTTCCGTTCATTTCTTCCTGATTATCTGCTTGACTAGATAAACTAAGGGCTTGTAGTAAATGGAACATTACCAGTCAAAATCAGATAACATGAGATGATTTTTAAATGTACTGAATAAGTGACTGTAAATTCAATAAACGGAGGTAGTTTTGGTTTCATTGACCAAAATTTTTAACTAATTTTTAAATGTTAGTGACGGGGTGGGGTACATAACTTCACCATTTCGAACCTTAATCTTCTCTCTCTCCCTCTTAAAACAGTGGAATTGTTGCTCAACCCCATCAACCTCAGGAATCCACTTACGAAATCCTACAGAAGCAAAATTAATTTACTGGATTGTTTCCGAATTCGTGCGAGTAAGTCGATCAAAATCGTTCATACATACTAGCGAGGTGTGACATTTGATTTACAAATTCTGAGTCTCTCACTCCGGATGCAAGCTTTATGGTGTTCATAGTAATCCTAGATTTACTACATGCGGATAGCTGCATTTCGTTCAATCCACGAAGGCTATAACCGTATCGCTCTGTCACTTTTAATCTTCCATTGTGTGTAAGCACATCCTCAGTTAGGTTGAATTCGACGGGATACTTTCGCTGTAAATAATTTTTGCATTTACCGTCTATTGGCATATACCTACATGTAATGCAAAAAACGCCCTAAGCGCACCTACAATTTTTTACAGTTTCTCCCGAACGCGTACATGATAATTGGTACTCACACGTATTCTCTAAGCACAATGTATAAAACTCGAATAGGGATTCAAATTTTGACCCAGTCAAATTGATTTTATTCCGGATCTTAAGGTTTGGAAATGCTCCTCACAAACACTGACGTTCAGGGCCCACCAGTGAACTTTTTCAAATTAACAGTAAATACTTAACAGTACAAAGTAGCCAATTCAGTTATGCACAAATGATCATCACTATCATGACCGTACGGAATTGTCTCTATAATGTATTCCGAGCTGATAACGTTTCTCTTCCAGATAGCGATTCCACAAATAGCGAGATGCCGCGCACATCGAAGTCTGTAGTAATTCATATACTATGCAGAAGGAGTGGTTATTTATTGGTACTTGAGAGGGCATAGCGATGTATAATCAAAATGATTGATTTCAGTTCAGTTCAGTTTAAACAACCATTAGGCATGCATTTCCGTGCGACGCTTTTGGTTGCTGTCTTTTGGCTGCCCATTTTGGTGAACAATAAGAGGAAAATAGNGGCTCACCCCCATAGACTAACTTGATCAGAGATGTGACGTATGCGACCAAACAGCGTACGATTTTTAGCAAGGCAGGTAGAGGATGGGAAAAATAATCGGTGATCGTTTTCCGTTTAAACAACCATTAGGCATGCATTTCCGTGCGACGCTTTTGGTTGCTGTCTTTTGGCTGCCCATTTTGGTGAACAATAAGAGGAAAATAGGAAGGCTGAAAGTAGGACCGAATAGAAAATTGAAAAGTTCAGTGGACTAATGAAGCAGACAAACTGAGAAGATGCACGAACGCAACTGTTTACGACACCCAGCCATATCACTCAGTGTCTTTCACCATCGGTTACGACCATCCCGAGGTCCCTAACCAGGGAGTCTCACGGAACCTATGTGATCCAGTACTCTCGTTAGGGATGTCTGACCCTCATGTCAGGTCTTAGCTTGATCACCCTTGGTTTTATTCCATCCACTAAGTGCCTCGGAAAACATCGCTCGCCATGGCAACCTATTTGGTGACATGCGTAACACATGCCCCCAACAAAGTAATCTATTCAGATCGACCATTTGCTCCAGTGGGCGACCGCGGTCGCCTGAAACTTTGCGCCTGACCTCATCATTGCTTGTTCGGCTGTCCCATCAGATTCGTGTAATGCTGCGTAGACAGCGATGTTCAATCGCCGACAGTCTACCTTCATTCTGTTTTCTTAATGGCCAAGTTTCTGCTCCATATAGCAGAATTGGTTGTACTGCTGTAGTGTACACTCGACCCTTCACGGACAGCCGGATGTCGCAACGAGACTGCACCTTGACGTGATGTGGTGGCTTGTGTGCCTCAGTGACCCTGCGAGCTACACAGGATGGCTTCTCACAGCCGTAGATCCAATCATGCCTGAAAGGTCAACGAGTAGAGGCCAGACGAAGATCAGTCTCACAAGGTCAGCTGCTTGGGCACCTCCTGGCTTTCTTCCTCTATCCACACCCGCCCCTGGAGAGGCCACTCCAGCAAATAAACACGATGAGGGGCAGTTTACTGGTAAGAAAACCCCGGTAGATGGAAGTAGGAACGGGGTACCTTGGGCTTCCTCTCGACAGTTGGAGAAGTTTTCGCACCTCATTGGACAGCTACCGCCCGCCCAAGCTGTGCAGCCCCCAGCTAATAAGGTGCTGTCCCGTCCACGTTCCGCTTCTCTCATTGGGTGCATGAGGCTAAGGATTGATCCCGAAAAGCGGACCGATAATCAAAGCACCAGCGAGCAACACAAATAATCGAAATTCAAAGGCCTTGCGTGACAGGTCTCCAGAAGCTCCCATATGGGTGCTTCGTTCACGCTCCCGCGTTGGATTTACGCCCCATTGCCTTGTGGGTCAGACTCTTGAGTCGAAGGCTCCGGTTAGGGTTCCCAAAGAAAAATCCCTTTATCGGTGTGGGCTACCGCGAAGTGTGTCGTGCCTTAAAGTCTTAGACACCCATTTGGAAAACCCTCGTTCCCTTCTGACCAGTTTTTCCCAAACGACTGCTGTTTACAAGACCCATCGGATATCTTTCAGCGTTATACCAACAAGTCCAAACAATCAGAAGTTACAGGATTTTTGAAGCCGAAATTCCATCTTTACTTAGCCACCTTCAATGTTCGCACACTCCATCGGTGTTGCTGGTGTCGGGATTGCGCTAAGTGCCAAGGCTGAGCGCTCGCTTCTTGACTGGATTCCAGTCAGTAGCCGATTGTGCGCTGTACGTCTCAACGGTTCAGTTCCAGTTGACAGCCACAAAATGAAGCGTCGATGATTATTCGTCGTATCGGCGTATGCACCGACCGATTGCAATATACCTGAAATCAAAGATGAATTCTACCAGAATCTCTGAGGAATGACCGCGAGAGGTGGTGGGTAGAAAAGTGTAAAGAGATGGAGAAAGTTGCGGCTATTGGTAATGGTCGCAATCTATTCCATCTAATTAGGAATACGGGTCCTAGGAAAATAAGGGTAAATGAGGTAATTAAGGAATCCGATGGCACACTGATTCACGATCAGCAACGCAATCTTGACCGCTGGGCTGAACACTTCAAGGCTCAGTTCAACTGGCCCCCATCGACACCTTATCTTTCGCTCCCCGCTTCGACTATGCAAAAGGAGAATTTCGCTCGTAGCAAAGCGTGGTCCGTATCCACAAGTGTTGACCAGTAAGAGCGGCAGTCTTGAATTGATCCCCTCCAGCGGTAACTGGTGGTGATGTGGTCGATTTGGGTCCAGTGCAGTGAAGAGGTTGGCGGTTTCCATCTAAGTCGATGGCGTTTCCTGTGCGAGAAGTTCGTGTTTGACAGGAACAATCCGTGGTCGGTGCAGAGTTGAATTAGGCGATCTCCGTTGTCCGTTCGGTTGGCTGGGATTGCGTGTGGTCCGCCAAGAAGCCTTTCTGATTCGTCCAGGTATCCCACTTGAGCATTGAA